TCTGCTGCATCCCAGCCTGTGCCTCCACACCTTTCAGAGTGTGGAGAATAAAGCTCCAGACATGGTATGCTGAGGACTTCCAGAGACTCACCAGAGCGGACAGGAATACAAACATTACGGCAATATCCTTTAATCCCAGTAATACAGTTCACTTGAAGAAGTGACAAATGCCTGCCCAGCAAAATGGGAAGAAGGGATGGAGGAAGAAAGAAGGCTGTAACATACCCACTCACACAAAACCCTTTGATGTCTGGTGAGGATTGTTCAGGTGCAAGTAGCTGGGCCCAGGCCAACATCATCTGCTTACATGGGAGCTTTCTGGCACTTGGTTCATATTTTCTGCCTATACTAACACACCACTGTCCTAGAAATCCTTGTGCCTGTCATTCCAGCACACAGTGGGGTTGTGGCCCCTCCAGCTTGTCCAGCTGCTATTGAAACAAAAGGTGTCTCCCCTCCTAAAGCCACTAGTGAAGGCTCTGGCACATGGTGATGCTTGACCATTACCAGAGAAAAGGTAGAGTGGGACATACTGAGTAGATTTCTTTCATGACCTGTCCCTTGGATCTAAGGAAGGTTTCTTCAGAACCAGTGGCCATGAGGCCCTGCCTTGCTTTGTCTCTCCCAAGAAAGGTCCTCACAGCCTCAGAACATGACTTGCAGATGTGGACCCTGGTCAGTACTAGGCCCAGATGAGGACCCTGGGGCCCGCAGGAGGTACTTAGTGGGCAGCATCCCCACAGGCTCTTGGGGAAAGGTCTTGTTCTGCATCAAGTTCTGCTGGGGAGATGGCACCGACAGAAGATGATCTTTAAGGGCGGCACATTTTCCTGTATTGTGGGGAGAGTGAAGGGAGAGAGTTGCATTGCGGGAAGGGAGGATGGGGTGTTGCCTATATGTCCCAAGGGTGGCCAGAAATTTTCCAAATTATTCTTTTCACCAAGAGAAGACATTAGAGGATGTAATCCACTTGAGGAAAGTGAGCCCTTGAACTACTTGCAGGAAATTACTAGGCATGTTATCATAGAATCATAAAATCATTTGGGTTGGAAGGGACCTTAAAGATCATCTAGTTCCAACCCCCCTGCCATTGACAGGAACTCCTTCCACTAGACCAGGTTGCTAAAAGCCTCATCCAGCCTGGCCTTGAAGATGACCAGGGATGGGGCAGCCACAGCTTCTCTGGGCAACCTGTGCCAGAGCATCCCAACCCTCTCCATGAAGAACTTCTTCCTGATTAATCTAAACCTCCTCACTTTCAATTTAAACCCATTACCCCTTGTCCTGTCACTACAGGCCCTTGTAAAAAGTCACCTCCCAGCTTCCTTGTAGGCCCCCTTCAGGTACTGGAAGGCTGCAATAAGGTCTCCCCAACTTTCCACAGACACCATTTTCCCCTAAAATCAACATCATCCCTAAGCAGGATTGAAAAGCAGTGATGGCTACCTGAGGATAGATCCAGGCTTTTCTTTCTCCAGCCTCAGTGGGCTGTCTCAGGGAATATTTTTCCCAATGCCATTGAGAAAGAGAGCACAGCTGACAATGGTGGGCATCAGCCTGACCTTGGGCACTGGTGCCTGGGTCCAGCTGCAGGTCTGAGAGCCTCCCAGGACAGGTTGACACAGGAAGCTGATGAATCTCACCCAGAAGGGAGGAGTAGACATTCATTGTAGACTCAATAATCTCATTTGTAGAGCTCTACACTCACATGAAATTAACCAAATACTGTTCATAAAGGTGTATCTGACATGTTGATGCGCCTTCTTGTGAAGTGGTCACATGGACTCCCTTCTGCACTGTCCATGTGCAGAAAGAAGAGCTTTGAGAACATGATTAATCTGTTCTGAAATGAAAATCGGAAGGGGAAAAGCAAGTGTCCTTTGAAAGTGCTAATGTCCTCCCCATGAGTGTAAGGAGAGATTTGCTACCCAGCCAACATTTCACAGCTCTGCAGTTTGGGGACTTTTCCAAACACATTAAAGTGTTTCCAAGGCAAAGCCCAAAATGGGTGGAATGATGGACTGTCAAACACTGATGTGGGGTTTTAGATGTGGAAATGTCCTGACACATTTAGCATGAAGCATAGCAATTTGCATATTTTGAATTAAAAATTAAATTTAGATACTAGGTAAAGGGAAGGTAGGGAAGTGTAAGATTTGTTGACTGTCTTTTCAAAAAATAATGTCTATAGGTAAATATGACAGACTGCTGAATTTTACCTTCCATGTTTCTGTGAAAAAGCTGCAAGAACGGGGCACAGATACATCCAGAAAATGCCAGGCTAAATGGACAAATACATTTTCATTTCCTAAAGCAGTGAGTCAGCTGCTGTGTCTTCTTCAGGTAATTCAAGTTAGTCCCTGACAAAGTGAAGCACTTAGCAATCTGGAATACAAACCTGTGGGAGGTCCCATTCCACAGTGTTCTGGCAGAGAACTTTTTCTGGGTGGGGTTTGTGACCCTTTCCATGTGCTGGTCTTTAGACCACGGTGAGGTATTCTGAGTTTACTTAGGAGTGAACAGAGGCAGATGGGATCTTTAAAATCAAGGTCAGCCCGGCCTAAGATGACTGTGAGATGGGCTCACTGGAAAATGGTGACTTCTCACTACCTGTAATGCCCAGGTGCACTTACACTTTGGTGAGGAAATTCTGCAGAGCCGAAGTTGTGTGAAGGAGGGGATAAATCTTCTCCCACCGAGGCCCTTTGAAAAGACCCTTCACTTTTTCTGGAAAGCTCACCCCAGAGTTTGCTTCACTTCTTTGTTCCTGAGTGTGTAAATTAAAGGATTCAGCAAAGGCTTTATGACTGTGTTAAAGATATTCACGAATTATGTTCAGGTCCAGGGATTTCTGGACTGATGGCTTGACATACAGGAACACAGTGGAGCCGTACCAGATTGTGACAACACTGAGATGGGCTGAGCAAGTGGAAAAGGCTTTTTTTGGCCATGGGCTGACTGAATTCTCAGGATGGAAGAGATGATGTATATATAGGAGACAAGGGTGACCACACAGGAAGCCACTACAACAATTATGGATACTAGGAAGGTTGCCAGCTCTGCGGCCCATATGTCACTGCAGGAGAGGGCAAGGAAGGAATCTATATCACAGAGGTAATGATTGATGACATCTGGCCCACAGAACATCATCCTGGATGTCAAAATGACCAGCAGTGAGATGGCCAGAAAGACTCCCATCCAGGAGCTGAGTGCCAGCTGAGCAGAGAGTACGCTGTTCATGAGGGACCTGTTTCTCAGTGGGTAGCATATGGCTAAGTAGCAGTCATAGGCCATGACAGACAGGAGAAAACATTCAGTGGAGCCTAGGGAGAGAAGAAAAAATAACTGGAGCGTGCAGACACTGAAGGAAATAGTCTGTCTGGATCCCATCGTGACTCTTATGGCTTTGGGAACAACACCTGTAGTGTACCTGATCTCCAGAAAGGAGAGATTACAGAGGAAAAAGTCCATCGGGGTATGGAGTTTCCTGTTTGTCCACACAAGGGCTGTGATGGATGCACTGCCTATTACTGACAGGGAGTACATCAGTGCAAATACCACCGCAAGGGAGACCCGGAAATGCCACATGCCTGGGAAGCCAAGAAGGATTAATTCTTCCACACTTGTCCCATTTGCCATGTTCTCCCAGGTGCTGAGGTCCATCTGCAAAGATAGGAAAGTTTTTGTGTGAGTTTACATGCCTGTGCTTGTCCTTCAGATGCTACTAGTAGTGAAATAAAGCCATCATCCCTGAAAAAGTAGTTGGTGCAGTGCATGGGAAAACAGCATCTATCCTAAATTAAAATTATCAGGGAAATGCTTTGTTGCAGCAACGTTTGGACAACTAGATCTAACCCTGAAGGTCAGACCTACATCATCAAATGAACATGGAGGATTATTTATCAGATCAAGCACCTTTAGAACATGGTGACTGCAATAATTTCTGTGAGATTAATACCCCATTTAGAAAACTATGGGCAGCAGTCTGAGGGTCTCCAGCTATGTGAAAGGCTGTTGCAGTGAGGAAGGGAATAAGATACCTTCACTCTTCAGAGCAGGTAATAGTGAGTTGTGATTTCAGCAAATGAGAATGAGGGATCAGAAAACTGTCATGATAACATGGCACTGGAAGAGATTTTCTCATGTGTTCTAGGTCAGCTTATCACAATGGCTTCTGACTGAGATGGCAGCGTCACAAGGCAGCAGCCTAGTATGACAGTTATTAATCATGGTCTTGGTCTTCTATATTTGCTTTCTTCCAAGTCTCAGCACAGGAAGCTTTTGGAAATACCTTCATTACCTTTATTAACATCTGCTTCTCAGCAGAGCTACTAGGGGTATGATTCATGTCTTTGTAATTTTGTGATCTCAGTGAGGGGAAGGGTTTCTGCTCACCAAGTTGAAAGACCTACAATACCCAACTCCTGTCTCAGCTTCTCAGCTTAGACTCCTTTCTCAATGGACAGAGACAAAGCACTAGGGAGATATGTCTCATGTCACCATATATACATGGCTAAAAGCCCTCCTGAAGTGGCAGATTTTCTCTGAGGACTAAGGGAGCAGTCTAGCAAGAAGCTCAGATGGGTAAGCTGGACATCTCAACTTGGTTAAAGGTATCCATGACTCATTTGTATTAAGGAAAAATCCTCTCAGTTGAATCCCATCCAAGGTAGCTCTGCTGAGAAGCTAGCCAAATTGCAGGGTGAAATTTAAGTTCTCCCTGCAGAATTCTTGATCAGTTCTCTAGAGGAGAACCAATCTCATCCTCATTTGGGTGTCTAAGATGGAGCTGGACCACCATCTGAAGGATCCATTTCCCTCCTTTCTTCCTCCATAGGAATCTAAATACCAGAAACATCATGTGGCTAAAGAGCAGAGAAATCCCCTTTAATTTGGCTTTCCTTAAACACACAAAGCATTGGAAGTCTATCCTATATGTCTTGGGCAGGTTTCACTCACCAGCTCAGTGATCCAAATGACATTTCTTCAGGAACCATCCTGCACATGAAGCCATGGTCCCCTTGGATGAGGAAGAACATTAGGAATAGGTTGATTTATTGGAGGAGCTCCAGATTCAGTGATATCAGAAGTGTCGATGAACAGCTCTCACCTTGCTGACTCACTTCAAGCTGTACACAATTGCTTGATGTGGTTTCCTCTCCATCTACCAAGTAGGTATTGACAGACTGTGCTCCCTCTTTTCTTTCCTCCTCACAGCCACCACTGTAGATCCACAAAGGGGGGCCTTGTGTGCACAGACACAGTGTAAAGTCTCTGCAGTTTAGCTCCACATAGTGACAACATACATCAGTCACCAGCGTTATTACCATAAGAAAATCCCCACACCCACATTGTTAACACATTGAAGCTCAAACTGGCCACACCAAGGAGACAGTTTTCTGTTTTTCTTCTGTGTGGCACAGAAAGTTTGATTTCTGAGGCATTTCATGGAATTTTTTCAGAGGGATAATGCTCTCTCTTCACACAAGCCAATTAAAGAACAGCAACACAATTCTCTGAAGTGGCTGTCAGGCCTGGTGTTTGCCTCCTGCATGCAGCTGTGGTATGTGAGCATTGTCAGGAACTCAGTGCTGCTTTGCGTAGCCATTTGCTGGCACACAGGAGATGTCTGAAGTAGCCACGTACCAAGAGACTGGAAGTGTTGAGAATTTGGTGTTGGGTACTAATATGGTCTTGAAATCTCCAGGGTGGGAAGTAACTAAAGGCAACTATGGACACATGAAGTAAGAGCAAGGTAAGGGATTCGCTTACCTCATTGCAGAGCCTCTCACTGCAGTTAATGCCCAAGTCTTCAGTCTTCATTGAAGTTAAGATCTTAGTAAAGTTCTAAAAGCAAAGTTAGACAAGCCTGTTAGGGGGAAATTGATCTCTTCTGCCTCCAGAGCAGGTATTTCCTGGTGACCTGCTCATTTTTGTTCCATTGATCATCAGCTGAGAGAAATAGGCACTGTCAAGCCTCAATTCAGCCCATTCAAAAGATGCTGTCTCACACAAATCAGGCAATCCATGCCTTTGAAACACCTATTTTCTACTTTGGACACTCAAACTAGACATCTGGCTTAAACAACACTCACAGACATAGAAATCCAGACCTCTAGAATTACTTGAGAAGACTCAAGATACCCAAAGAGAGGCTGTCTACCCTGTCCAGGGCCACCACACAAGTTTTGGAGTTGACAGTAATCTTTTGCAAGTCATGTTTCCAAGGGTTCAGTGTGGCTGAGGGAAGGCTGGTTTGTGCTGGGTAAGAGCAGGAGATGCAGCTCATGAGAGTAACATGCCTAGCTTGAGCCTATTCACCCACACAAGAGCCTTTTCTCTGCTGTCTGTCTGTCCTTGAGTATCACGGACATGGATGTGGGGGTTAGCCATGGGATGGAGGGTCTCATAGGCTCTGGCGGGACAGCCTGTGGTTCACTTCTGATCACATCATGAAACAATCCATGCACACATGGACAGGTCTGCAGGCCCTGCTGTGAGCTTATGCAAGTTGGAGAGTTCAGAGACCACCATTGGTCAGTTTCAGGATCAGTGTCTCCAGCAAGATGATTCATCCCATTAACCATGCACATCTGCTTTGGGATGAGATAAATCCTGTGTGATCTTATGTCTTTTAACTGACTGTGAGAAGAGTCTGCAGAGTCAATTAGAATGAGTCCAAAGGAGGGCCACGAGAAAGATTGGAGGGTTGGAACACCTCTCCTGTGAAGAAAGGCTGAGACAGTTGGAGTTTCTTGGCCTAGAGAAGGCTCTGGGAAGAGCTTAT